TTAACCTGTTCAGTTGCAGGTTATTCAAACAATTGGACTTGGTTAGCCAGAATCACTCCGGGCTGGAAATGATGAAGCAACAATTGGCATGAAACTTATGTGATTGAGATCATGGCATCTTCAACGAACTTAGATGTCGGGGCCCAGTTAATTGTGGAAGAATGTACCACGAGCTACAGCCTTCCACCCATGCCAGACATTAAAGTGGAGCATCAGCTTGACACCAGCACAGAGGAAGGCCCAGCTCAGAGTGTCACCATGGGGATGAAATTTATTTTGCCCAACAGATTTGATATGAACGTCTGCTCRCGATTTGTGAAGTCTCTGAATGAGGAGGACAGTAAAAATATTCAAGATCAAGTCAACTCTGACCTTGAAGTTGCATCCGTCTTATTTAAAGGTTGAATTTATGGTACAAATTATTATTTGTGGACTGTGTCACCYTTCTGTTGTTATATTTTCTTCTAAAAATGCTTATACCTTCTATATGTATTGATGTGTTTTCTAAGATTTACTCCTCTAATATTTTTATTATATGCTTAGTGGATTGTTAATGTAAAATTAATTTTCTCCAACTTTATTTTTCTGTAAAATTTTTAATATTTATATCAGCTGAAAAAGCAGTGACACAGAAAGTCTCCTAAGTTAATAAGAGCTCATGCTAATTGTGAAAACAATACATGGCTTGTCCAGCTGCAGTACGTTGCTTCACAAAACATACTGAAAGCRCTGTAAGGTAATTTCAGCTTCAGCAGCTTTCAGCAATATTTTCACGAGTATGATGAAAAATAACACAGGCCATGTGTTTTTTATCACTATGGCTATATGAAGCCTCCAGTGGTAGCAATGGGCTTGCCAGTGTAGCTTCACAGTACTTGAAAACAGGTGGTGCTGCAGGTCTGGGTCTTTGCAGCTAATCCAGCCATTGCTGGGTAGCTTTGTTAGAATTGATCCACACTTTTTCATGGCTGGGGATAYTGATGCAGGGCAAAATTAGGGCTTACATCTACTTCCCCTTAAAAGCTGCTGTTTCTAGCACTTACTGACATATTTCAGACTGTATCTTTTAATGAAGTTCAYGTCACCTATTTCATGTAACAAGTGGAAACACAGGCCTGTTTTGAATTTTGATGGTTTCATGAGCTTGTATTGTTTGGCTGCAGCTCAGCCATTGTAGTTTTCAAACTTTTTTGATTTGCTTCAAGTGCTCACTAGCAGAGCTGCAGGCCTGAGTGGCAGATTTAGACCCGTCAGCAGTAGGATTGTTTTTCTGAGGTAACATATTTACATCCCTTAGAAGTAGTCCTGCAAATCCACTGGTCAAAATCTCTGGTAGGACTGTTATCATGATGCAGTCAGCTGTAGCAGTTTGAGTTGCAAGCAAAACATAATTTCATTTTCATCCTGTTACACTCCTTTTAATTAGTTCTTTCCCTGAACTGTGCTTGTATTCATGATCATGAAGTTCTCTTGYGTTAATTCAGTGTATGTGGGTATTAATTAGCTTCCAGTCGTTAATTACTGGGTCACACTGATGTCAAATCAATTAAGCCAATATGGAGTTTAATCCTTCAATGTCTTTCCAGTATTTTRTCAGTTAGCTTTTTAAAAATTGTTTGGCTTTTCAACTGCTTCTCAAAACCGAACATTACTTTTGAGAATTAGAAGCCAAGACAACATATAAATAATAAAATGCCATTAGCTTCTAAGCGGAAGAAAGAAGAGTTAGTATGAAGGAATACATCAGCAGTGACTGACTTCCTGAATTCTAAGTGGTGTCCTGCTATTGCATTTTATATCAGTTAGTGGAAAACATCTCTTGCTGCTAGGTAAGTATGCATCAGGCATTCATAATGCTATCAAAATTTTATCCAGGAGTGAAAAAAGCCCACTTTCTTCTGGTGAAAAAAGTTAATGAAGAAAGTTAATGARGAATGTCTCCACTTATGCAGTGGACTGACTAGGGAGCATGCAAAAGCTGAGCAGGTAGCTGACTGCACGTCTGACCAGTGCTGCCTCATGTTACTGCCTTGGAGAGTGTGTATAAGGAGATGACAGGTCAAGTGGAGCTTTCTTACCTAAAAAATCCATGTCAGGCATGTTGAAAAATCTAGACAAAGGCTTACCTCAGTTGGACACCAGTTTGGTTCTGGGTGGCATTATCCCATACTAAATATGTGAAGTAGCAGAATTGTTTTATGCTAGAAATTAATGCAGCCCTTTATTCAGCTTTCACAATACACAGTGGAAAAAGAACATGTCACAAAGCTTTCTTAACATGGATTTTAATGGTCTTGTGATACTGGTGCTTTACAGTTTGACTTAGAATCTGTGGCTTGCTTTTAATGCTCTTATTAGTACTGAAATCCTGTCTGTGTTTTTTGTTCAATGTAGCTGAATGCAACAGCCACACTTCTCCTTCCCCTGGTATCCAAGTAAGACATGTTTATACTCCATCAACTACTAAGCATTTCTCACCAATAAAACAATCAACTACACTGACTAACAAACACAGGGGAAATGAAGTCTCTACAACACCTCTGCTTGTAAACTGTAAGTATCCTTCTGTGTTCCTATTGATAATTATTTTGTGAACTCTGTGTTGGTTGCTTGACAGATTTATTCAGTTTTTTCTTTGGTGTTGCAATGAACTTTAAGGTAGGAAGAAGACACTGAGATAGTCTTGTTTCATTTCACATGGGTCCAACCATAAAATAGTCATCCACCTGATGTGTGAAATTCATGACTGAAGTTTATTTTCCAGAAAGAATCTAAGTTGATTTAAAAAGTATAGGTAAGGGACTTTCCTGATTTTTTTTCTACGTTGTAAGTTGATGTACTTCGTGCACATGTTTTCAGAACCTGTGCATCTTGTAAAATGTATTAAAATTAGATGATGGGTAAATTGTACAGAATGTTGCAAGTGTCATGATTGTCACAGGTCACAGGTCATGAAAATCAAGGAAATATTATTTGTGCTGGGTTTTTTTTTCTGAATTGTCAAGCATTTTCTTTATAAATCTGTTTGCTGTAATTTATTTTGCCAGTAAATTATTTCCTCCATAAATTACAAGTCAATTTTGTTTTAAAGAAAAATGCTGCATGTGTGGGAAAAATTATTCTGGACCTGTAGTGTAGGCCACTGAATAAAATACACCATCTTTCTGAACAAACAAAATTTTCATGTTGTGGTTCAGAAGAAGACAGTGAATATTTACAGTTTATGTGATTGTTAGCTAATTCTGTTATTATATAATGTGGATTATTTATTACACATATCCTCCTGTCCACCTTTCAGGCCTAGTCCAAATTGCAGTTATCAAAACCATGTACCTCTGCAGTATACTGTGAGTCAGAGGTTTTGTTCTTCATAATTTCTGAAATAACAAAAAAATGGTGCAATCTTTATCTGCCGCGCTGTATGTCAAGTTATCTATAGTTTTGTAATGTCTGATCTATTCCACATTATAGTGGGTGAGAGTTACACTCAACACTTCTTTGTTGAGTAGCAGGGCARGTTTTCTGATGGCTTAAGGGTGATTTTTAAATTAAACTTCCTTCATTTATCAAAATATGTCGATTTTCATTTGATAAATAGTCTTAATGTGATGTAGGGTTCCAGACCAAATATCAGAGAAGAGAGCATTTTGCCTTGTAAAGAGTCAGTGTGGGGAAGTATCTTTGCTTTCAAGAATGACTTAAAATTACTTTTTACTTAAATTTACTTAAAYTACTTTTTTACTTAAAATTACTTTTTTTTTTTTTACTTACAATTACTTTTAAAAATTACTTAAACCTGTGAAACTCTTTGGAAGATTTTAAGTTTTTGAGAGTGATTTTGGAAGAGTGATTTCAGTTCAGAGTGTAAGGTGAAACTATCTACTCTCAAATCCAAATTCTGTACTGATAAAGGAAATGGACATGTTATGCTCAGCTCCAAACAGCAGAACGAAAACTGGTGGATGTAACACATGCTTATGCTTCCTTTTTGGCAGCTTTATCAGTTCATCAGCTGGCTGCTCAGGGAGAAATGTTGTATCTGGCTACACGTATTGAACAAGGTGAGACAAAAGGAGGTTAAATGCCTTCCTTTTTTTCTTTGGGCCATTTATATGCTGTTGTGCTTGACCTTTCCCCCAGAGCTGTATTTAAAGAAAAAAATAAATAAAGTCCTCAGTTCTTCAGTTCTTGAAGGACATTTGAGGTGTTTGTTCTTTGCAGGTGTGGACAATTGTTTTGCATCAGTCTACTATTCACTCACTGTCTGATTTGCACTTTAAATTAAAACATTACCATTAATAGGAGTGSGTAATCCCTTCCTCTCCTTGCTCTCTAGCTATATAGGCAATCTGTGAAAATAAGAAAGGAGTGTTAGTTCTGTCACAGCAGTTAATTGTATTTTATTTTTAAATTATAATTTAAAACATATTTCTATTAATCATGGCTTTCTGATTCTATTTAATCAATCAGCATAAAGACCTGCATGTTGCTAATTTAAGCCATGGCTCACACTTGCAATRTAATAGTTCTACACATTCTGAGTAGTGTGGCATTTGTGTGTTCATAATACATATGCAAAATTTCAGCTCTAACATATTTATTAATTTAGTAACATTAATAGTATATTTTTACTGTACTTATAGTAATCACTCATGCTTTCAGTGCATTCTTGTTGAAATGTTTACTCTAAAGTGGGTAATGAGTCACTGAGTCTAAAACTTTGTAATTTGCTGTGTATATGAAAAATCAATTCTGAAGTGTCAGCAGTGGTTAAAAATGCTTATTTTGATGCTATGATAAGTGTGGTATTTGTAATGTACTTAGATATTAATAGAAAATCCAATGGCAATACTTGTCAGCCTGTTGTTAAAATAAGTCCCTTTCTTCTTCTTCCAGCTGCAATTGATGTAGATCTTAATTGTTTTCACAGATCACCCTATGGATTACATGAACTTTGAGGGGAAGGGAGTTGTTTTATTAATATTGCTGTACAAGTTCATTCTTTACAAGATTGTGTGGCTCACTCTATTGAAAAAAAAAAACAAGTTTACAGTATAATACAGTATGCACCACTTCATTTTGCAAACATCTTATATCTTCTTTCCAAAGGTGAAGCCTGGATTACAGGCAACTTGTAATGTTGCTGAGTAAAAACAGAGGTTCATTTATAGAGCTTAAAAACTTCAATTTTAAATTATTTAAGTAAAGGCTGAAATTTTCCTTTGGTCAGTTGGATGTGTTTTTCTTTCTTGGACAGAGATGGTACCACCACCATTGAGACAGAATTTTGTTTTTAATGTTAGGATGAAAATGACATTTAGGTCACACTGGTTTCTGGTGAACAGAAGTTAGCATGGATACATCAACAAATTGCASCAGCTGATATACAGTGCATTTGTGAAAGGGATTACTAAGGTATATATTTTTCTCTGAACAGAAAATTTAATCAATCATAAGGATGAAGAAGGATTTACCCCTCTGATGTGGGCTGCAGCTCATGGGCAGATAGCAGTAGTGGAATTTCTCCTCCAGAATGTAAGGAAAAAAAAAATCACTTAATAATTTTGAATTTATGTGCTCTTTGTTTTGCCTTCCTAAATTTGCCAATGCTGCTTCTAACTCAAAAGTTGTAAAATTAAGTTCTGTATAAAACCTCAAATACACTTTTTTAATTGACACTTTATTTCAGGGTGCAGATCCTCAGATTCTGGGGAAGGGGCGAGAAAGTGCCCTCTCGCTGGCCTGCAGTAAAGGATACACAGACATTGTCAAAATGCTGCTTGACTGTGGAGTTGATGTCAATGAGTATGACTGGGTAAGACTTCAGCTTGAATTKATATCAGAGGGTGCTTTGGTCAGCAAATTGAAGCAGGACATAGCATTGGCTTGGGTTTAAAACTTGTTCTACCTCTTCTGAAATATCTAAGGTTTCTAAACTTCAAAGGATAAGAGAAGTTGGTGTTACTGGTTCTTGGTACAAAGAGATGAGACTTAATGCTGACTTATTTTAGAACTGTGATCTTACAGTTTGAACAGTAGACAAAGATGGAAGTTGTGAAGATCTAAAACAGAGCCTAATTTTTTTAAAACCTAATTGGTACTTGGAAGCATATTGGTATGTTAAGYAGTTACAGTTGTGGACTGCTTAATCAGTAAACCGAGGCATTTCTCTGCTTTTGCAGAATGGAGGCACACCCTTACTATATGCAGTACATGGGAACCATGTGAAATGTGTAAAAATTCTTCTTGGTAAGCAGACTGCCCAAACCAAATTAGCAGTTATAATGTACCGTCAGTTCTCATCAGAAATACAAGATTCTCTTCCTGTTTTCATAGAAAGTGGTGCTGATCCAACTGTTGAAACAGATGCTGGCTACAATTCCATGGATTTGGCTGTAGCCTTGGGCTATCGGAGCGGTGAGTATTGCTTTTTTTAACACTTAATTTTTACAGCTTCTCATTCATATAGCTGCTGTATTGGCCTAGTGGAGATTTTGCAGCTCTTAGCATGTTACTTGTCCTACAAGTCTTAATACTCTTAAATGCATCAGGCCAAAATGGGTAGGACTTTCCATTCTTGTTTCAGAAAGTCAGGTACTTAGTAAGAAAATGGTACWGACCTGGATCTCTATCAGTGGACGCAAATAATGGTGTTTAGAGCTAAYGCAGCTATGATTCAGGCAAGGCTGAGCTGCTTCCTCACCCTGTACAAAGGAGTGTGTTACTGGACAGTGGTAAGGGGTCTGCAACCCTCCTGAACTTCTGATCCTACTTGACTGGCATGATGTGATGTAGTTTACAAAACCTTCTCCAGTCATATCAGCTCTAGCTCTAGTTTGTCTTGGAAGCAGACTGTAATCAGTGAATTATACTATCATCTCATTTGATTATGGAAACCAGAAGCAAAGGGACTCCTGGCTGGTTTTTTCCCCTCATTTCTGCCTTCATTTTGAAAGGTGTGAAATGTCTGCTATTACAGAAATGAATGGCATCAGAAAGTAAGCCCAGCACTGTATGTGTATCTTCTCCAAGCTCTTTCAATGAGCCAGTGTTATGGTTTAATCTCAGCCAACAGCCAAACCTCCACAGCCGCTCACTCATTCMCTCACCAGAGACATCAGGGAGAGAATCAGAGGGGTAAAAGCTGGAGAACTYATGGGCTGAGATAAAGACAGTTCCTTAGGAAAGCAAAGGCTGTGCACACAAGCAAAGCAAAACAAGGAATTAATTCACTTCCCATGGGCAAGCAGGTGTTCATCCATCTCCTGGAGAGCAGGGCCCCATCACACGTCATGGTGACTTTGGAAGACAAAACTCCATCACTCCAAATGTTCCTCCCTCTTCCCCCCACTTTATACACTGAGCATGATGCCACATGGTCTGGAATATCCCTTTGGTCAGTTTGGGTCACCTGTCCCTGCTGTGTCTCCTCCYAACCTCCCAAGCACCCCCAGTCCCCTCTCCAGCGTGACAGTACCAAAAGCAGAAAAGGCCTTGGCTCTGCGCAATCTCTGCTCAGCAATAACWAAAACAGCYCTGTATTGTCAACCCTGTGTTCAGCACAAATCTAAACATAACCCCATGCCAGCCACTGAGAAGAGTAGCTCTAACCCAGCTGAAACCAGCACACCACAATTTCACAGATGTCTAGATACAAGACGGCCTCATACCTCAATCTCAAAGTGTTTCACAGAGGAAGTTTCTGATAAGTAGTTTTGCCTACRTTTTGTTTACAGGCTAAAAGTTTGCTTTCCATGTGCTATCAGCCTGTTCAAACCGGAGAACAGATGATGACCCCAAAAAAGCAATCATATCCGCCTTACTGTGTGTATTGTTTTTGCATTATATAAGACTTTTGTTTTTTGAAGAATCATAGACATTCTGCATTCAGACAGAATGAATTTATACATGTCTGGTTTTTATTTTACAGGACAGGTACGTGTCTGCCAAAAAAAACAGTATAAAATACAAAAAAATACAAAAAAATACAAAAAAATACAAAAAAAGTATAAAATAGTATAAATACTAAATAGTATAAAATACAAAAAATACAAAAAAAGATGAACACTAATTAACTTCATCTCTTCCTCTGCTTTAGTTCAACAGGTTATTGAGTCTCATTTATTGAAGCTACTTCAAAATATCAAGGAATAATCGTTGGCTYTTCTGCAGGTGCCACTTCTTGGCTTGGAGATTTGTACTGCTTTTTAAAATCTCTGTAATTGGTGACAAGAGTTTGTTGTTTTGTAACTTTACCTCAGTTCAATGATTTGCTGGTTTTAGTTAAGCTTTCTAGTATTCTTTGTATTCTTTCACTGTTGTTAATAAAAATGTGCAATGTCATCCTTTCCTTAAATATGGTTTATATAATTTTAAAAGAGTCCATTGTCATGCWTGTAAAACTTTGTAAATAAACCCAGTTTTTGACCATCTCAATGTTTACCCTGTGGGTGGCACTATGCCAAGTGTTCTACTTCATCATATCATTGATGCATATTCAGAGGAAGAGATGTGTTTAGATGTTGAGGTGTATCACCACAGAAGATAGATAGCGTTAATAATACCAAAATGTGCATAGTGTGTGAAGTTTCTGAGATCCCTGGTTAATATTTATTAAGGGCGGGGTTCATTTTTGCAGTAATGAGTGGGGAGGACTATGACCCAGAGGTTATTCTGTATCACCTCATCTCCTTGCTAAGGGCAGGAGGAAGCCCCTTCCYGGAGAAGGGGTTCTTTCCAGTCCAGATGGACTGGCTGCAGTGGGGTCAGATGGAGCTCTGCACTGATCATTTTTGCATGTGAATCACACTCTCTTTTGTACATTYTTTTTATTAATRTTGTTGCYGTTAATGTTTGTTACATCATTGCTGTTTCCAGTAAAGTTTCTTATTYAACTTGTGATCTTTACCTTTTGTGCCTCGAATTCCTCTTTCCACCTTGTCCCAGGGGAACGTGGAGAAGGAGTGAGTGAGCAAGCAAGTGGCAGTGTGACTTGAAGAGTCTGTGGGAGTACTAAACTGGACAGTACCATTCCTAAACCACAAAACTTGTTTGGTTCCCAGTATGGGGCGAAGGATTGAGATTATGGATCCACAGGGGGAATTAGAAACAAATTTGATTAAGCATTTGCTCCATTGGGTAGGGAGCCGCTGGTCACAATGTTGTTTGGTCTGTTAGTGTGGGTGTTGTACCTAACCCTTTATATACCCCTGTATGTGCTCATTCTGATGCTATTTTTCAGAGTAGGGAGAGGAATCGGGATTGTTCTGTTGCTGGACTGTGTGACATCCGTTTACGACATGGTAACATCAAGGGCATGAGGATCATTTGGTGTGTGTATTCCGTGTTGCTCTCCTACCCTTACCTCAGGCACTACATTTTGCAAGTGCATTAATAGTTATATCCTGTTGAGAGGAGGGGAAACGGGAGGATAATTTTCCCCATCTTTTCACTCCTGTTACAACAGCTTTTGAGAACTTTGAATTACCTTTAGCTGTTAAGGAAAGCATGTTCTGGTCTCCTCAGTGCAGTCTACATCGTGTTTAGATACTTCTAGGGAGGTTATTTAGATATCTGCCCTGGGGGTGGATAGTCATGAGTGGCATGGGATGTGGGAGAAAATGGGCTGGCTTTGGAAGGATTATTGTGCTCCAATGGTTTGGAAGTTCACCACTGAACAACTACAGGATTCTGATGAAGTGGCAGAATATGTAAAGGAAAACTGTCATGCCAGTCCCAGAGAGGCACGAAGTTATGCAGTGTGCTGGGCCCTGGCTGCTTTTCCCTGGAAACTGCTTGTCCCTAAGCAGCACCCTCAGGGGAGGAGGAGGCAAAGAGACCAACAGGCATGGAGGCCACTCAAACTGCAGCTGGACCAGAGGAACAAATCAGTTCACACTGTAAGGGATGAGAAGGTAGAGGCAGGGCCAGAGATAATAATTTGATTTGTGTCCCTGGGTGAGTTGTGAAATATGCAAGAAGATTTCAGTCACCAGTCAGGAGAGCCCCAGATAGAGAGAAAGAAANAAACTGGACAGTACCATTCCTAAACCACAAGACTTGTTTGGTTCCCAGTATGGGGCAGGAAGGATTGAGGTTACAGATCCACAGGGGGAATTGGAAACAAATTTCCAATTTGTTTGGAAACAGGTAGAGGCAGGGCCAGAGATAATAATTTGATTTGTGTCCCTGGGTGAGTTGTGAAATATGCAAGAAGATTTCAGTCACCAGTCAGGAGAGACCCAGATAGAAAGAAAAAAAAAAAAGGAAAAGAAAAGAAAAAAACAGAAAGAAAAATATAAAGAAAAATGAGAAAGTAGAAAAGGGAAGGAAAGAAAGAAAAAGAAAAAAGAAAGGAGAGAAAAAATAAAAATAGAAAAAGAAAAAAAGGAAAGAGAAAGGGGAAAGGAAAGGAAAAAGGTAAAGGAAGCAAAAAGAAAAAAAGAAAAGAAGAAAAGGAAGGAAGGATAAGAATAGAATGAATGAATCCAGTGACAAGAATCCAGTGCCTATTAATCCAGTGACAAGACATGATTGTTGTGATTTTGATGTCTGTTGTTTAAACTGATGTTCACAGTCTTCTGMCACCCTGATTGCCAGTGCTGGGATGGATGTTCAAAGGGGAAGTCCCTCCTATGCCTCGTGCCATCAAAGCTACATGGAATAAGTGGGTCTCATTGATCACACCAGCTTGGTGTGCCTCCAGTTTTCTCTGGTCTACCACAGGGGTAGAGGAGCCTTAGTGAGTAGTGTGTGGCTTCAGTGGGAACACTTGACAGTAACTGAATTCTTTCCACATGCCTTCTGCTTGTAGTCCTGAAACAGAGATTAACTAGGCCAGTGCATCATAAGTTGAAATTTCCTYGGTACAAAAAAGTCTAATTGCAAATACAGAACTCCTAGCTCCTAAATATCCTTCATGTAGTGGCTGAAAGCAGGTATCAGCTGTATGGGAAGAGAAGCCACAGCCTTCTGCACTACAGCCTTCTTCAGCCACAGTATAGTCCTTTGGATCATAGAATATCTCRAGCTGAAARGGACCATAAAGATCATTGAGTCACATTCCCTGCTCCTTGCAGGATCATCCCTATGGGTACCTTCCAACCTGATATATTCYGTGAGTACCTCAAACTAAACCTAAGCATCATCCAGATATTCCTTGAATGCTGACAGGCTTGGAGACCATTTTCCTTGGAAACCTGTTGCAGTGATCAAGCACCCTCTCAATAAAGAGCCTTTCCCTCATGTGCAGTTTCATTCCATCWCCTTATGTCATATCTCTGGTTGCCAGATAGATGATCAGTGCCAGCCTCTCCACTTTCTCTCATGAGGGAGCTGCCATAAGGTCACCTGCCTCCTCCAAGCTTAGCAGACCAATGTCCATAGCTGCTCCTCACACGWCTTCCCCTCAAGRCCCTTYACCACCCTCATGTCCCTCCTTTGACACTCTCCCATAGCTTTAYATCTCTCTGCTATTTGTGGCACCCAAAGCTGCCCCCAGCACTGAGGTGAGGCTGCCCCAGTGCAGAGCAGGGCAGGACAATCCCCTCCCTTGCCCGGCTGGTGATGCTGTGCCTGATGCCCCCAGGACACRGGTGGCCCTCCTGGCTGCCAGGGCACTGCTGWYTCMTGTTCAACTTGTCCTCAACCCAAATCCTCACATTTCTTTTTGCAGGGCTGCTCTCCAGCCTCTTGCCCTCAGTCTGGGGGATGTCCCAGTGTAGTTGTTTAGTTAAAACAGCAATCATGGTTTTGAAAACAGCTGAAAAAAAATTAGACAATGTTAACTCATTTTCTGGGACTTATGCACTTAATCAAARCTACAGTGAATGATGGGTCATAATAGTTTTCCACAAATAATAGATAAGCTTTTGAAAAATGCTTTCCAGCAGCTCTTCCCTGATAGTACATAGGGTTTTTCCCCATGTAGTGTTCACGGTTCCAAGCACTTCTCCGTTGTGTCCACTAGAGGTCTGGCATCTACTGACATCCATGCACCYCTAATCCCTGACTTTCTTCCCCAGCCCATGGGTAGTGAGCCCAACCTCTAAGTTCTTGTATTTCTTGTATAGTCTCATTACCAAGCTTTCTTTTCCTATTTGAAAATAAATCCATACACGAAGGAAATGAATACTGACAAAAGGGACTGGAAGTCTGGAGAACAATCCAGACAAGTTCTCTGAGTCAGATCCAGAGAAATAAAGAATTAAATATGCTAATTTTGAAATAACAAAGTAACTGAATATACAAAAGGGGGAAATGTAGGAAAAAGTTCCAAACCAACATGTATTAAACCTGAATCTCTTGCTAAATTTCTCTCTAATTCTATGTATTAGAACATCAGCAGTATGTACAAGATGTACATCAGGTCAGAATTATCTTTGCAATGTTGTGCAAGAGATACATTTCTTTCATGAAGCTGAAATCTGAAATGTACTCAGTCCTAGGGGAAGTGAAACAAGAAAACATAACTGATCTTGCAAGWGTTGGTGAATTCTTTGCTGCATTATCTGTCTCCCAGGCTTTGACACCTCTATTCTTACATAGCGCTTACATCAGTTTTATTGTATCAGGCATAATTAAATCAGATGAAAGAAACACCAAATTTCACATGCTTGGAAGCAAGACAGAAAAAAATGTTTCATAATCAAAATCCAGAAAATTATGTCTCTTGTAAGTAATTTTCAAGTAAAATAACATGAAGTGGCAATTACTGTAAATTGCATAATAAACATATTGAGAYTTAATGTCCTTTGGAAAACAAATGCTGAACTTCCCCATTATTGAAAAACAATGCAAATAAAATGCAAATTGTGTTTCCTTGGGATACCCGAGCCATTTTTTCTAAAATTGCAACACATCTTATGTATAGACAAAACTATATCAGTATGCATAAAGAACAGAATTTCCTTCTTCTATATTATTTGTGTTATAGGAAAGTTCTTGTTCTAAATAACCTTCAATATCTGCTTAGCATTTTGTCTTGCATTTTGGTCAGCAATGAGATAATATATAAAAAATAAAACTGCCTAACTTTTAACTATTGTCTCAAAACATAACATATCCTAGAAAATGTATTTTTTAATTATAATACATGAAGACATCRGAATAGAGGAGTGTAGATTAGGACAACAAAATTTTTTAATTCTTCCATCTTTTTGCTGCAGAATTTCAAGCAATTGTTGGTTAGTCATCACAACACCTCCCGCAAGAGTGAGTACGAAGGTGAAGATGGCAATCTTTCAGAAGCTGTTTCCTGCATTATGAGCCTTTTCTACTGTGTAGAAATGCACCATTATACTTCTAAGGGAACATGGAATTCAAGTTCTCTGTGGCTCCTGTGAGGGTCCTGCAGGGATCAACCAGCACTGTTTCATAATCTATGCAAAGAAAAAGCTTTACTCACAGGAAAAATGCCCTGTATAAAAAGCACAATCAACTGTTGATTGTGCAATATTAACAGCATGCTTCACTCCACATACTTTGTGTTTTGCTGAGGCACAACAATGAATTTTTGTTTCTCTTGGTGCAAATACTTCTCAGTATTCTTTTTTGTTGTTGTTTATAGTGGTAAAATTTTTAAGTGGTGGGAATTTCAGCATCGGTTAAGTGTTTTGAAAGGTCAGTCTTCCAATTTTGTTCTAGGGAATGATTTCTGTAGCCTCTGAAGGCAGAAAGAAGACATGATGACTTATCTTTGAACTATCATGGGTCCAAAGGCAGCAGTGTTTCCTTGTCACAAGAACAGAGTTTGAAAATTCTGTAGTCAGAATCTTTATTCCAAGTTGATTCTCCCCAAAGCTTTTACCAAAAGCTCTTGCTAAAGCAATTGTTAATCTTTTATATTTGAACTTGAATGACAGTATAATCTTTCACAGTATTAAGATACATACATCTATAATAGGTTG